AAGAGGAAGAGGAAGAAGAAGAAGAGGGGCGGAGGCCATACCTGCGTCAGCGGTACTTACCTGGGCGCCATAGCCGTGCTCCACGCTCACGAACTGCACAACAACAGCAAGAAGAAGAAGAAGAAGAAGAAGAAGAAGAAGAAGAAGAAGAAGAAGAAGACGAAGAAGAAGAAGGAGAGAGGCGGAGGCGGTACTTACCTGGGCGCTCAACGCTGGCGACCTGCAGAACAACAACAACAACAACAACAACAACAACAGGAAGAAGAAGAAGAAGAAGAGGAGAGAGCCCATACCTGTGTCAGAGGTACTTACGTGGGCGCCATAGCCGTGCTCCATGCTGGCGACCTGCACAACAACAGCAAGAAGAAGAAGAAGAAGAAGAAGAAGAAGAAGAAGAAGAAGAGGGGCCGTGCTCCACGCTAGCGACCTGCAGAACAACCACAACAACAACAGCAACGACAACAACAACAAGAACAACAACAACAACAACAACAAGAACAACAACAAGAACAACAACAACAACAACAACAACAACAACAAGAGGAAGAAGAAGAAGACGAAGAAGAGGGGCCGAGGCCATACCTGTGTCAGCGGTACTTACCTAGGCGCCATAGCTGTGCTCCACGCTGGCGACCTGCACAACAACAGCAACAAGAAGAAGAGGAAGAAGAAGAAGAGGGGCGGAGGCCATACCTGCGTCAGCGGTACTTACCTGGGCGCCATGGCCGTGCTCCACGCTGGCGACCTGCACAGCAACAACAACAACAACAGCCAGAAGAAGAAGAAGAAGAAGAAGAAGAAGAAGAAGAAGAAGAAGAAGAGGAAGGAAAAGAAAAGGGGCGGAGGCCATACCTGCGTCATTGTACTTACCTGGGCGCCATAGCCGTGCTCCACGCTGGCGATCTGCACAACAACAACAACAACAACAACAACAACAACAACAAGAAAAAGAAGAAGAAGAACAACAACAACAACCACAAGAAGAAGAAGAAGAAGAAGAAGAAGAAGAAAAAGAAGAAGAGGGGCGGAGGCCGTACCTGCGTCAGTGGTACTTACCTGCACAAGAACAACAACAACAACAACAACAACAACAACAACAACAACCACAACCACCACAACGAGAAGAAGAAGAAGAAGAAGAAGAAGAAGAAGAAGAAGAAGAAGAAGAAGAAGAAGAGGGGCAGAGGCCATACCTGCCTTAGCGGTACTTACCTGGGCGCCATAGCCGTGCTCCACGCTGGCGACCTGCACAACAAGAGCAACAAGAAGAAGAAGAAGAAGAAGAAGAAGAAGAAGAAAAAGAAGAAGAAGAAGACAAAGAAGAAGAAGAAGAGGGGCGGAGGCCATACCTGAGTCAGCGATACTTACCTGGGCGSCATAGYCGTGCTCCACGCTGGCGACCTGCAAAACAACAGCAAGAAGAAGAAGAAGAAGAAGAAGAAGAAGAAGAAGAAGAAGAAGAAGGATAGAGGCAGAGGCGGTACTTACCTGGTCGGTCAAAGCTGGCGACCTGCACAACAACAAAAACAACAACAACAACAACAACAACAAGAAGCGGAAGAAGAAGAAGTAGAAGAGGGGCGGAGGCCATACCTGCGTCAGCGATACTTACCTGGGCGCCGTAGCCGTGCTCCGCGCTGGCGACCTGCACAACAACATCAAGAAGAAGAAGAAGAACAAGAATCAGAAGAAGAAGAAGAAGAAGAAGAAGAAGAAGAAGAAGAAGAAGAGGGGCGGAGGCCATACCTGCGTCAGCGGTACTTACCTGGGCGCCATAGCCGTGCTCCACGCTGGCGACCTGCACGACAACAACAAGAACAAGAACAACAACAACAAAAACAGCAAGAAGAAGAAGAAGAAGAAGAAGAAGAAGAAGAAG